AAGTGTTTTTCATACTCTTCCTCAGAAAGGTCAATTCGGTGAAAGAGAGGAGATTCTTCTGCCATTACAATGTCTCCTTGCTTCATCCTCAGTTCCGTTCTCTTACTCTGTCTCTTCTTTTCTCCTTCATCATTCTCTGCTTCTCCACCGAATTCCACAGCCGAAACTGTGACTCTCCGGCCTCAAAAAGAGATTCATAAGCTGAAACTCATCAGAAAACAACTCCAAAAGCTCAATAAACCAGCAATCATGACCATTCAGGCAAATCCAAACTCTTTATCTTCCTCTGTTTCTTTTTTTCTAGGTTGAGTTAGCTTATGCACTAAGTTAATGTTAAATTCTAGGTTAACTTAGCTTATGCACTAAGTCAATGTTGTTTTGATGTTTTGTAGAGCTCAGATGGAGATAAAATAGACTGTGTACCCTCTAATCACCAGCCTGCTTTTGATCATCCCTTGTTACAAGGACAAAGACCAATGGTTTACATACTCACATTTCTTATCTTATCATATATAATAATTATTTCTGAATCTCAAAGTCTCTAAATTTGATGAAAAAACATGTTTAGGATCCACCGGAGATGCCTAAAGGGTATAACCAAGAAAACGAATCCCATGAAAATATTCAGCTTTGGAGCTTAACCGGTGAGTTTTGCCCGGAAGGTACAATTCCGATCAGAAGAACGACGGAGCAAGACATGCTAAGAGCAAGTTCTGTCCGTAGGTTTGGTCGGAAAATAAGGCGCGTGAGAAGAGATTCGAGCAGTAACGGCCACGAGGTACGTATCATTAGACTAATTTATTATCAAAAAGTCAGAGGTTATATACTTTTTCTTAATTTGGTTTTTTAAAAAGAGATAGTAGATACAAACATAATAATAACAAAAACCACCTTTGTCGTAAATCTTTGCAATGCCATAAACAGAATTATAATTGTCAGAGTAGCATTATTCTTTGTTCGAATCGAAAAAAAAACAAGATTATACTCCAAGTTTCATCATTTTGTTAAGAAAAAGGAAATTCTCGATATACAAAATTGTACTAATATTTTAGGCATATAAATCGTAGCATGCAGTTGGATACGTATCGGGAAGTCAATATTACGGAGCAAAAGCAAGTATAAACGTATGGACGCCACGTGTCAACAGCCAATACGAGTTTAGTTTATCTCAGATTTGGGTCATCGCCGGTTCTTTCGCCGACGATCTTAATACCATCGAAGCTGGTTGGCAGGCACGTGTCATCCACCACCTCCT